ACTTTTGTGAAATATGCGGATGATCTCACTGTATGTATGCCTATCTCTTCCTCTTTACATCCCATAGAAATGAATGAGTTTCTGTCTTGTATTGATTGTTGGTCTGTTGATAATGGTCTTATACTGAATTAGTCTAAATGTCAAGCTGTTAACTTTAGCATGAGACATGAACGTCATCTAGACATCATTTTGAAATCCCATAATGCTTGTGCCATTGGAGACTCTTTGATAAACAGTGTCGAAGGTCAATTATCTTGGTGTCACCTTTTCCTCTGATCTCTCTTGGTCTTCTCACGTTTTATTATTATCGAAGAAGGTTTCCCGTCTGACTTACTACATAAAGAAATTGCATGCTCTTAAGATTACTCGTCATTTACTCTTACAATTTATCAATTCTTGCATATTACCTATTATTCTTTACTGTTCACCATTATTCTTTCACGGGCTTTTGAGAAAAGACTTTGCTGTATTGAGGAGAGTACTGAAGGCAGTTAGCAAGGTGTGTGGTGAATCGTTCGAGGTCATAATTAATATGGTTGTGGATAGACATCTAAAGTCATGCAAACTCCTGACAGGCGTTGTTTTATCAGATACTAACTATCCCCTTCACTCTTATCTTTCTCCTTGTATATCTTCTGGTAGAACGAGACATCAATACATTAAAATCCATGCACGCAAGCAAAAGTATAAAAGTTCAATAATACCTTATCTAGCAAATATACTGTGACGAACAGGTTATTAGAGCTAACCTAGTCAATAACCTGAATTCTTAACATGTTTCTAATTTGAAAAGTTGTACAGTTTTTCGGTTGTTTTTTTTTAACCTTTTTTGTGTGTAAGAAACTTGTTGAAATACCCTGTGCTGAGAATTTCTAAATTGTACCAAAATATAATATTGAATGAAGCCATTAGTAATAATAATAATAAACCTCATTGGTTTTGAGATGGTGGAGACTTGTAGCTCAGGTGGGTGATTTTGATAGAGTTTTGTTCTCTGAGCTGGATGGTTTGGTCGTGGAGCTTTCATCGTTCTTCTGAACGACATCATTAGCACAAACTTCAGATAGAAGTGAAGTGTTCGAATTTCTCCATATGCATTTCACAGCTTGTTCTTTACAACTCGATGTTGATTGGTTCTTATTGACCTTAAATTTATCATTGTTTACTTCTTTGTTTTGGTTGTGTCTCCCATTGGTTTGATTTTCGTTCCTATATTTGTGCATGATTTTTCCTGATTGGTTGGTAAATTGGATTGGTTTCAATATGCTTGTTGATTGACCTGAGTGCCAGGCTTTTAAAAATTCTCTGTTTTTGGAATTTCCTCTGCCCAAGATTTCCACGGTTTTCCAATCGAATGAGTGTCCGCAGTTGTCCACGTGAGAAGTATCATCGCGTTCGACTTCTAATTGTTCATGTAGGAGAGGGTGAAGGGGGCGTCCGCTTTGTCCGATGTAGTGTTTTTCGCAGTTGGCACGGTTTATTTTGTAGATGATGTTTGATTTGTTTTCTTTCGTTATTTCATCCCTTGGTTTGCATAGGATTGATTGTAGTGATTTTGTCGGTTTGTGTGCCACACCTATTCCGAAGGTTTTCAGCAGTCTCGTTGCGGTTTCTGATATGCCTTTTATGTATGGTAGGGCGATCCTTTTGTTGATTCCTATGCTTGACTTGGGTTCTGATGCTGCGTGCGGTTGGTATTTTTCGATTGAGTAGCTGTTCTTTTGAAATACGTCCTTCAGGTATTTCTCTTCATTTTTTCGTGCTGCCAGTGTGTCCTCGCCCTCTTGAACAAAGTGTGTACGCAGTTGATTTTGTGAGCTCTTGGGTTGTTGCTATTGTAGTTGAGAATTTGATCAGTATGGGTCGGCTTCCTATACACTTGAGTTTCCAGTTTTCCTGTGTCGGTTCTAGTGATTAATATATCCAAGAATGATCGTTTGTTGTTTGACTCCTGTTCCATTGTGAACTTGATATCATCGAAGACGTTGTTGATCAGCTTGTAAGCGTTTTCCGGATCATTCTTTTTGACGATGATGAATGTGTCGTATACATAGCGAATCCAGATTTTCGGCTTGATCACTGGTTATATCATGGATTCTAGTCTTTGCATCACTGCCTCTGCGATCAGTCCTGATATTGGTGATCCCATTGGTATCCCTTTTGTTTGTTCGTAGATTTTGTTGTTGAATTGAAAATATGTTGTTAGGCATAAATCGATGAGTTCTAGTAGACTTTTAATTTGAAGCATCGTGTACTTAGTGAGATTTGTGTCGTTGGTGAGGAGCAGGAATATAGTTTCTTTTGCTAACCTTGGTTCAAGTAAGGTCAATAACGCCGTTACATAGAAGGATATCATCAGTTCGTCGTTGTTGATTTGAATGTCCTTAATTTGGTCCAGGCATTGTGTGGGGGATCTGATGGAGTGGTTGGATGAATCTACTAAATGTTTCAGTATTCGTGAAATTTCTTTTGACAAATTGTATGTTGGCGTTCCGAGGAGTGCTACAATTGTACGTAGTGGAATGTTTGGTTTGTGTATTTTTGGTCTGCCGTAGAATCGAGGGCAGACCAAACACTTCACTTCTATCTGAAGTTTGTGCTGGTGATGTCATTCAGAAGAACGATGAAAGCACCACGACCAAACCATCCAGCTCAGAGAAAAAACTCCATCAAAAACCCCATTGACTTTTGGATAAGAACTCTGGATCAAACGGTCCCTAAGATAACCACGTGCTGAATTAAGGATAGCGAGTGAAGTAGTCGAACGCGTTGACAACTTCATTTATTTTGGAAGTCTCATCAGCCCTAATGGGTCGGTGTCTGAAGAAATCTCAGCACGGATTCGAAAAGCTCGTCACCTATGGCGAAGGCGAGATATCCGTCTATTAATAAAAGGACGAGTATACTGAGCAGCAGTTCGTTCTGTTTTACTTTACGGCAGCGAACCATGGCCATTAAGAGTAGAAGATACTCGTAAACTACTAGTATTTGACCACACATGCCTTAGAAATATTGCGTGACTATCGTAACCAATGGTTGGAGACTCTTAGTGAGATGGCTCAGAGTCGACCACAATGGCGTAGGTGTATACACTCTCTGTCTTCCCTTAAACTAAGAGATTAAAATCGCTTCATATCTTTTTTTCTACGTACTAATTCTTTCTTCATGTACTATATCCTTGATGCAATCTTTCTTTTATATATCACCACCTCTGAATTAACTACTCCTAAGAATTCGGTGTTCATCTTGTGTTAATGAGATATGACAACTTGGACCTATGCATATATGTGCCTGGTCCTACGTTGTAGCTGACTGACGTGCTTCAATCTGTGTATCCAGACAGTATGTCAGTCTTCTCACAAATATGATAATGTATAACTATGAAGAAAGTGCTAATATTCGCTCCGCTAAGCTACCTACTCAACCGATACTCACTATGATTCTATTACAAACGTGTCGATTTTACAAAGCATCAAACTCCTATTCCGTTCTCTATTTATCTTTATATCCCAACTTACTCAGCAGCTCATCTACGTCGTAAGCTCCGTCTTGTCTAAGCGACCCCAAGTCTCTAAGTGGTCGAAACCCTGGATGCCACCACCAAACACGGAATCCAGATCAGTTTTTCCCGAAAAGTCAAATGCTGTCCTTCTCCAACGTCCGTACACTGAAGAAAATGAGACAACAGATAAGTTTGGTCATGCACTTGGTAACTGCTAACATTGATGTTTGCAGTAGATCACAGACCTTTATACAACATTTTAGTGAATTACTACTAAAGCTAACTGCGAATTTGACATTAAGATACCGTCACAATTATCGCATTCCAACAGTCGTGCTCCCTCATATCATGATCACCTTCGTCTCATTGAGGACTATCACCTGAGATTGTGTGTTCAAGTAGTGTGCGTCTGAGAAATTTATTAACATCTTGAAGGCTTACTACACGAACATCTCAGACAGTAAATGCACACAAACACATTTTTACATTATTCCATTCCAGAAACGCCTTAGGTATGATTCGTTAAGCTCGTCATTCCCCTTCAACTTTTTCAATGATAATATTGTGAAGACTGCTCTGATCGAAATATATAGCGGTGGTGGTTCGTTGAAAGGACACATAATACATGTTCTAATCACCTTAGTTAATGAACACACCACCTTACATACCGACTTGTTATCTTTATCCAGTACTCCGAGTCTATCCTTTGCATTGCTCATTCGGCAGTCCCAACATACGTAAGCGATTCTTTGAGGACACTCGTAACTAGATGGTAATAATCCACAAATAGCTAACTTTAGGAATCATTTCACAACCATAAATAGGACAGGTCAAACTAATGTGAAGTTGGAAGACGGACGTTTCACTTGTAACACAGGTACCACAAGTTGGAAGAGTCAAAGAGACTTTCTGAAAAGCCGAAAGTGGAAACTTTGAGGAACCGACAACTCAAGACTGATGCATCTATCTAAATATTAGGTAAGTATTTCACGACCCGATATTCCAACAAAAAGTCAAGTAAACAACATGAACAACAGTCGTTTAAATTATATGTAATCTCAAAAAATTAATTACCAGGCCAATCTGTCAATGATATTAGACAGAATAACAGCTAAAGCAAATACACAAATATACACATATGTACATAACTATTTACAAACTGGCCTTAAGCCGGTGGAGTCAATAAAAATAAACTAAACACAAGTACAATACCTTTCACTCAATGAATTGAAATAACAAAATAATGATTGCGATGCCTGGACCAACTTGATATATACATCATTTCTAAGAGCAATATTTAACTGTAAGAGTATGAAGAGTTCTTATTATTTCGAAAGAATGAATTAAAATAAAGGTTTTCTTGAAAGAAATGATGAACAGCAAAATCGGTGGGACGCGAGATCGTACAAACATCCATCAATATGAAAGATCGTGTGGCAAAAGTAACAGAAGCCGAACAACTTCAGCTTCAAGTAAATTACATGGATTAAAAGGATACCTATTTAGCAACAGTGTCAGCATCAACTGGTTGCTTTGAATCCAAGTTATTCTGATCAACTGACGACACAAGATACACTAAATTACGTTGAAGAACGGCCTGAAGTTGGACCGATTCACGGAATCGACCTTTTCTAGCAAGGTCAGAAACTAACTCGATGATATGTTCATTCTCGTCTAAAAGCTAAAAGTTTGAGGAACAACAATCTATGGGTACTTACACGCTTGGCACTTGTTGCTTCATGAGCGATTACGTATCTAGAGCTATTTTGCGCAAAAGCTCCAGACATTTCTGCTTATTGGGAAATTGGAACCTGAAGATATAGTCAAATTAATGCTATTTGAAAACCTTCATGAAAAAAAAACAAAAAATACAGAAACATGGTTCTCAGTGATTTGAGATTTGTGACGAGAAAATCCGGTAGGACTATAATTTGTGTCAGCCTTTGAGTGGAGCTAAAGTGACCTCCAGAATGCCCATCTATTTACCAGAGCTAGATAAACTATTGCGAGAAATTAGGATTGTGATTTACAGTTGACGGTTACAGTTAAGAGATAGACTGGGAGTTTTCATTCCAATTCTGGATCATGAGGTAAAAGACCAGTTGAAATGCTTTTAGGGTGAGTGCTACCTGTACAAAAATTCAACGATGAAACTTGGAGCATGAGAGCACTAACAAACTTACGTATAACATTCGGATTACAGCCTACCCTAATCTTCCAATTTCGGGGGAAAAATCATCAGTTTTATGGAAGTCACAATAGAAAAATTTGAGGAAGTGACACAAAACCCCAGAATTTGGAGGAAATTAAAAATTTATACGACTTTGGGGTAAACCCCGAAATTCCCCCAAAATCAGGGGACTGGGATTAGGCTACCCAGTCTCCCAAGTTTGGGGAAACCTCCAAAGTAAAATGACCTCCACCAAGGCTAAAGGGGAATTTCCCCAGATCTAGGGAAATTTGGTGTTTCTGTGCCATTTCTCCAAAGTTCACTATAGCGTCTTCCCCGAAAAAGGGTCAAATTTTCCCCAAAATTGGGCGCTCGCGTACAACTACACATATTACTATGAACTCAGTGTAATAAAACCCTCGATGCCGTGGATTTCACCCTCGCAGCCATCCTCACAGGCAAATTTGATAGGAAAACTTTTAAATTACAATCGAATCCTATTCTCTAGTTACGATAAACACCCAGCCGCTTGCCTAGTATTCCGATAAATTTGCTTAATAATTTAAAGTTATAAGTCTTTATAGCTTCGTTGAAATACTGAAATACAGATGGCACTTCACTTAATGATCGAGGGGAGTGTGAATTTCAGTCGCGAATAACTTTTGTTAATCACTCTCATAATGCAAAACACCATTACGTCGAAAGTAACGTGCAATTTAAACTGCGGCCTTTCTTTCTTTCCCGATACAACTCTCAATGTTTCAGTTTCCGTTTGGGAAGGACAGGAGGCTTGATGGCCTGTGTTAGTCCTGGCAACGGTGGTCTCTCAATTGATCCAACTTTCTTTTTAAAAGAGTCGACGGATGGAGCCCCAACCACGTGCTGAGGTAATGAATTCCACTCGTTGATGATTCGATGAGAAAGTCGATAATCAGCTGACAAGTAATTTATTCTTGGCTTGTGAACTTTTTTGGAGCGTCCTCATAAATTCTCTGTTTTGGAAGACAAGAAAAATGAGGGCATATCAGGTGCAAATTTGGCACTAAGCAATTTGAAAACTGTAATCAAGTCGCCTCTAGTTCTGCGATATGACAATGGGAAAAGGTTCAGCTTGGCAAGTCGAGCTTCATACGGAAGCCTCGCTATTCCGAGAATCAGCTTAGTTGCCATTCTCTGAACCTCTTCCAGAAGCTCACTGTCTTATTTTAAGCAGGGGCTAGCCGGTTGTATGCAGTACCCAAGCTTAGGACGTACGAACACTGTATACAAAGTCAAAAACGTCTTAGCATCGACATGATAAAAAGGCCCTACGTATTGACCATAAGGTTCTAAAACCTTTGACGGCTATTGCACGGCAGTGTGCAGTAGTCTTTAGGTCTTGGGTAACGATAAATCCTAAGTCATTATATGTTTGGACGACAGGTAGCTCAGTGTTATTCATCGTGTATGTATCTGTACGTTGACGACCGATATGCATCACAACAAACTTGGAAGTATTTATCGGCAACTGCCAGGTTTGAGACCATTCACATAATTTCTTCAGGTCATTTTGGAGTCCTAAGCTATCATCCTTACATCGTATTGTTCTCCATATCTTGACATCGTCAGCATATAGCAAGACTCATGATGATAGGTGATGAGGAATAGCACTGGCCCCAAAACTGTACCCTGGGGCACTCCACTAAGCACAGTTCCCTAGCTAGATAACCTTGAGTTCACCCTTACTCTTTGTTGACGCCCAACTACGAAGTCTTTTATCCACACAAATAGATCGCCTCCAATCCTGACATTTCTTAACTTATATAACAGCCGGTTGTGCGGAATTTTGTCAAAAGCTTTGCTGAAATCAATGAAGGCTTCGTCTACAGGTAACCTTTGGTCCTCAAGAGTGAACCAGCCTTCAAGACCCACTGATGAGTTAGTGAGACAAGAGTAACCAATTCTGAAACCGTGCTGCTTCTCCGAGAGGATCCGGTTTTTATCGAGAAACTTTAAAAGCTCCTTCCGAATAATCTTTTCTAAGATTTTATAAACCTCACTAGTTAGGTTAACGGGGCGGTAGTTCTCAGGTTTGTGTTTCGTACCTGTTCTGAAGACAGGACTTACTATGGCGTTTTTCCAGTCTTTGGGTAAACGACCCTGCGTTGCGGATAGGTTGAAGCATATACTTAAAAGGTTGCTCTGATAAAGCAAATTTCAATCTCAGTAGTCAAGATAAGAGATCAATCGATCTCTATTAGTCCTTGCAATTTGTAGTACTGTGTAGATTTGATTTTGCTTTTAATTTATCAAAAAGTACTGATATTGCTATCTAAATAGGACAGTGATATTGTTTCTCGTTGAGTTAATTAACTGTTTTGATCGTAAATTACACATCAAAACTACTGTTTATACTTTATTTGCATCTACTCCAGTTAAAGTGATATTGTATTGAGTGTTAAGATTTTCCTTTTGTGTATTTATTGCATCGAAGCATACTCGGTCGACTTCTACTTGATTTATTTAGTTAAGGTTTGAGAATTCTTTTACATATCTTATTTGTGTCACCATTGTAGCTGATTTTCAAGATGGCCAGCTCTGCTCATGAATGTGGACAACCATATTGCTTATTCCCATGGAGGAAGGAATGCAATGTTTTGAGTGTAATAAGTGGTTCCATAAATTGTGCACCCGAATAAGCCCCATTGCATATAAAAGGTGCTCAAAGCCGAACTCGCATTGGCTTCGTAGATTTTGTTGCTCGAGCAAACCATTACTCATCCAGGAAACAATTAGCCTCCTGGTGTTGATGAGGGTTGTACTGGTAGTATTGGTACTGATGGCGAAGCTTGCGTTAGTGTCGTAAGTGCTGTCTCGGCGCGAGCCAGACATCTAACTGTTCAACTCGCAATTAAACCGTCTACTCCGGAACAATCAATGAGTGACACCTCATTAGATATTGGTGGGCATATTGCTACAGCAGCAACCGGTGACCCGGATAAAACTATCACTGTCCCGAGTTGTTCTAATGTAGATGTTTCGTCTGATGAAAAATGGATGACGCGAAAACGCAGAAGAGTAGGAAAGACAGCTAAAACTAATGACCGTTTACTTGATAAGTCCTTGGTGGACTCTCAGGCCAATTCTCAAAAGCTCCAAAGTAAAGCTTCGTCTAACATTGTTGTGAGTCACTCGCTCGACTCTACTACAATAAAAACTAATCGTAAGATACCAGTAGTTAATATACAGGATCTAACGTCACGGTCGAAAGCCGTTAACACAATTTCAAAGGGAGCTAAACGACTTGGTAAATGGGTTGGAGGCGAGACCCAACCAAGAAGGATCTTGAAGCCAATTCTAGGGAATTTTGAAGAAAGAGATGTATTATTGAAAAACGCACAAAACATTCGTGATTCAAATATTCGTATCTGACCAGATTGGCCGTTTAAGGATCGAATCAAGTGAAAGAATGCCCTTACGGAGTTGAGAACTCGCAAGATAAATGGCGAAACTAATCTTGCCATTAGGGTTTTCGGGTAGTCAGGTCTTGGAAGCCAATGCTTCCGAGGCCTGTATGTGTAGAACGAATGACTACCAAAACACCTTAAGTGTGTGCTACACAAACGCCCTTAGCCTTGGAGATAAAACGTCCGAGCTAAGTCTGATGGTGGATGAATTAAGTCCTGATATAATTGTTGTTACAGGACCATGGTTCACCGTAGATATAGAATGTTCTCCCATCATGGCAGGCTATATCTTTATTAGAAGTGATAGAGTTTTAAGTCGCAAGGGTGGAAGCATAATGTGAGGTAGCATGTCGTAAGATTAAATCTAGAAATGGGTTAGTGACTATAGGGGGAATATACCGTAGTCCGTGTTGTCTTGCTGACGACTTTATCCTAAGACACATCTGTTCTTGGAGTATGGCAGAATGTTGTCTCATCATTGGGGACTTCAACGCACCGCACATCAACTGGATAGAGCTTACAGCTCCAGGTAGTGGTTTCGATAGCGACCTTTTATCAACCGTTATTCAGTGTGCACTTGTACAATGTATCACAAAACCGACAAATATTGATTTGCAACATGATCCGTCGCTGCTGGACCTCGCCCCCACCCACCACTGTGATGATGTCTAGTGAACAGTGATCACGTTGTACTTCACTTTAAGTTTAGGACACATGGTATACGATTTGTATCTGCTCCACCCCATCCCAATATCCGGTGAGCCAATATTCCCGCAATCAGAAACTGTGCTATCTCGATTGATTGTTCGGTCGACGCGAATGGATCGATCGAAGATGAATGGAATAAGTTTAAGGCTATATTCGAGTCCGTAACGTCGCCGTTTATCCCATGGTCGACACGTAAGCTATCACATTGCTCTCCATGGATTAATAAGCAAACCCGAAAGCTGTTAAAGCGTAGGCAACACTTCTGGGACTTATTCTTGTTGACAGGTCATGCGTCATTTGAGCGTGAGTACCAAAATTCCGGAATATCTGTAAGAAAACCATAGCCAAATCCCGTACCACTTACGAACGACAGTTAGTATATGATAGCCGTACTTGTCCGAAACGATTGTTTTCGTATGTTAAACGGTATATGAAACGTAGTGATGGTATTCCCCCGTTACTG